GCCTAAAAGTGAGTACTTATTATTAAGAAAACATTCTGTTAGAGAAGAAAGTAACTTAAAGAAACCAGAAGTTGGAGATGTTGATTTCCTGGAAACTTCATATTGGTTCAGGCTTACCTAGTTACTATGAACTCTACCTAATTATCATAGTTATATTTATGTGCATAGCATTACACTTCCATAAAATAGAAAGACGAAAATATGATAGACTTTTAAATACTAGGGGGAAGAAAGCAGATATGATACAAAAAGTAAGCTATTCATTTGGAGGATGTCTAGAAGTGGAATGTTACCCGAAAAAACCTTTGATAATATGGAGAGAAGGGCAACAAAAGAACAGTATCAACTCTCTTGTTGTTAATTGCCATCAAGTAGATTCTGGCTCAAAGCAACCCTTTAAATCTTGATGGAGCAGAAAGTCTCATCTTTTTTCTGAGGAGTGGCTGGCAGACTCAAACCAGACCTTGTGGCTCGCAGTCCAGTGCCTGTCATATGGAGTCACTCTAGCAGCCTTAAAGGAGAGTCTGCTTTTACTTTCCACATTGGCATTCTGTTCCTATGCGACTCTCCCATTTCATAGTTGTTTCTATATTACTGAAAGATGAGGCTTTCTGCTCCCGTAAAGATTTACAGCCTCAGAAACCCTGTACAGAGTCACTATGAATTGGAACCGACTCCAAGGCACATAACAACAACAACAACTACTGGTATTAAATGCTGTCGACTCACAGCGACCCTGTATAGGGTTTCCCAGACTTTTTAAAAAGTCTTCTTGGGAGCAGAAAACCTTGTCTTTCTCCTGCGAGGTAGCTGGCGAGCTCGAACCATGGACCATGCATGTAGTTTTCAGTCCTGTGCTTATCGTAAGGAGCCACGAGCTCCCTGTATTACTATAAGGACATCTTAAGTTTCATAGGTTTTGTGATTAAAAACCAGAAACTAAGCCCAATGTGAAGTTAATTCTGACTCATAGTGACCCTACCCTGTAGAACAGAGGAGAACTGCCTCACATGGTTTCCGAGGCTGTAATAGTATGGGAGGAACCCTCCTCATCTTTCTTCTTTCTGCACAATGACTGGTGAGTTCCACCACAGACCTTTTGGAGAGCAGGCTGAGTGTTTAACCACTGCACTGCCAGAGCTCCTTCTTTTGTGTTTACCATGTGGAATGGGAATGGGCAAATAGTTGAGAAAGGGTTTTGTGTATAGTTTTGTAGATATTTACATGTTGAAGAATGGGAATGTATATGGTTCTTGCAGACCATCTAAAGAATGTTACGGGATTGTATTACAAACCTCAAATTTGCGTCTTGACAGATGTTAATTGCATTTGGAATTGACGAATATATAACAAAGATTATTAAATATCTGTTAACTTGGAGTCCTGATGCGACACTGTGGGTTAACCGCTATATTGCAAAGTCAGTTTGAACCACAGTGTCAGCAGTTCAAGCTCATCACTTGCTCTTTAGAAACCCTATACAGGGTTGCTATGGGTTAGAACTGACTCGATGGCTCTTCACAACAATAACAACTTGCACTAGAGGTAGGGAATTTGTACCCCTTGGAACCTTGAAAACAATTTATGTGCTGGAACTGGGGAAATCCATTTGAAACATATTTTAGACCCGTTAAATATTTAAGGTAATTTTTCAAATTTGGCATCTGGTGTGGCACTGTAGGATAAACACTGGACTGTTCAACCCAAAGGTAGGTGGGTCAGACCCACCGGGCACTCCTCAGAAATCTTACACAGTTTAAATTTAAGAACATAAAAACCCACATTGCATGCAAGTGCATGTAATTTTAAAGAAAAACCTTAGTAAGGTTTTTCTGGTTTTGAAAGTAGCCCAAAACATGGAAATAAAAGAAACAAAATAAGAGCAAGTATTACTGTATTTAGAGAACCTAGTGACTTCTCTCCATTATCAAACAAATTGAGAAAAAACAACTAATTTCAGAACAGATTGCCAGGCTTGGGAGTGGAGGAAGGTTTTCTTCTAGTGGAACAGATCACAAAGCGAATTGAACACAACATGACATATACAGCATTGATGTATACAGGATTGTTCAGAATAAGCTTGACCTGTAGTTTTTCTCTTACTAAGGAGCTCTGGTAGCATAGTGGTTACGAATTGGGCTGCTAACCTCAAGGCTGGCAGTTCGAAGCTACCAGCATTCCACGGGAGAAAGATGAGGCTTTCTGCTCCTGTAAAGATTTACAGCTTCGGAAACCCTGTGTAGAGTCGCTATGAGTCGGAACCGACTCCACAGTAGTTAACAACAACAACAAGGACTCAGGTATCCTCTCCTCTGTAAAACAGCTGAAATTCCATATTGTTTTTTTTTAAATTTGAGGAACTGCCTTGATAATGACCCTAGTATAATTACAAGGGAATTTAATCCTCATCCCACTACATAAATGCCACACTTCTTCCTGAATCCTGACCTTGTTTTGGAAGGGGCAGTACCTTTTATTTTACAGAGATTTTTTTTTTTCAAGGATTTAAGAATTGACTAGTACTTAAATTAAGATATAATAAAATATGAAAGCTAGGGTGCTGATTTCTCCCCTCTGGGAAAAGGCACAAAAAAGGGGAGTGGAGCCTTGTGCAGCCCAGACTGACCTCCTTTGACAGGGCTCACTGTCATGGGAGGCCCACAAGAGCTTCAAGCATGACTTCCGAGTTGAAGGCCTTCATTGTTTTTTCTTTAAAAGACAGCTTTTAAAGTGCAGTCACTTCTAGGACTTAAACAGTGGATCCTGACCAACAAGGTGCAGAATGTTTAAAATGGAAAGAGACCTTTCATTTTAATGCCATTTAACAATCAAATTGGAAGTATCTTGATAACATGAAAGTAGAATTAATACAGTCTGCCTTTAGTTCTCCCTGTTTTGTACCTCATTTGAATGACATATTCCCTCTTATTTACCTCCTTAAAAAAAAAAAAAAAAAAGGTTGTGAAATCTAAAATAAAGCTACATTTGTCATTTCATCCCTTCCCCCATCCCTCTTCAGGACATCAGTGAACCACTGCGTAAAATTATTAACCTTATGAGAGTAAGTCAACAACATTGCTATAAACTCATAAAAACCTTTATTAAGCATTCCATAGAATAAGTGCTGGGGATTGTGAACTACAGTGTCGGCAGTTTTCTCACCAATGCAGTTTTTGGTTTTCTTAAAACATCTTCCTAGTTAGGCCCCTGTAATTGCCCTGTGTCTTTTAAGAAAATCTACAAAGATTGCCCCTTTGGAATCTAAAAGGAAGGTTGTTGTTGTTAAGTGCCGTTAAGTTGATTCCGAACCATAGTGTCCCTGTATAGGGTTTCCAAGGAGTAGCTGGTGAGCTTGAATTGCCGACCTTGCAGTTGAAACGGCTTTGTAGTCTGGCGCATTAACCCACAACACCACACCAGGACTCCTAGTCATCATTATTTTCTGAGCTGATCTTTCTGACTTAAATGCAGCTCTGAGGTCTTGTCAGCCTTCCTTAAAATGCTTGATTCATCTAAAAATGGTTGTTTTATGTGGGCAGCACTCTCTTAAACCTGTTGCAAAGTGTCAATGATTTGGAAATATGTTCAGTAACATTTTGTGAAAATGTGATACTAGCCCTGACCTCTAAATCATTTTCTTCCATAGCACAGAAAGTATCCCTGGTTTTTTTGGAGGCATCCTAATGAGACTGAGACCAACTGTATTACTGAAAGAATTTGTGTGTAGCCATGTATGATCCCAGAGACATATGTAAATATTTTGTTTGGAATAAACCCAGGCATGTGTAAACTAGATCTCTAGTAGCAGTTTTTCTGACGTACTCTTGTATCTTCTGACTGTTGAAGGAGATCCGGGAGGAAAAGGGATTTGAACCATTTATGTGGTAGAAAAGATTTGTAAGGGTTTATTAGCTACTTTTCTTGTACTTTGATTCATTGATAACAGTGGTGGTTTTAATATTCAACCTGGAAGAAAAAAAATAAATGTTGATTCCACAGTGCATTTTGAGTAAATTTCTGTTAATCCCCTTTCTGTCAATTTTAACAAAGCAACAGCTTCTGCCTAGAAAATAACATATGAGTAAATAAGGTGACTGTAAACTAAATGTATTAAGATACATGGAATAGCATCAATAAGAGCTTCTGGAAGTTTTAATGGTTTTACCAGTCTGTCTTCTTGACTTTAATTTTGTTTTGGACAATGCTCCAAAACCACTGTCAGGAATGTGCAAAAGGATTTTTTTCACAAATGAATTGATGTCTTTAAAAACTTTATTATGACACCAGAGATGGAGGCAGAGGTGATGGCATGGAGAGAGAGAGTAGCTGAGGACTCTAGATTTATGAAAAGAGAAAGTCTGTGGGCTGGCTACCAGGAGGCAGGCTTGCAGAATGTGCCCTTTGGTTGTTTAAATGATTATATATTCTTGAGTGTTTTTGTGTACATCAAAAAACACCACCAACAACAAAAGAGGGAATGGCAGCAAATACTGTTAACCGATGATACATGGAGGGGATTGTAATCATTGCAGTGAAGCAAAATACGATAGAGTGCAAAATCAGTGCTCTCCCATGTTAACTATCACTCAATTCACAATAAAAACTTTGAAAAAAACCAAAAACCAAAAACTTTATTATGATTAGGTGATCTTTGGCATAGTGTCTTTGATATCTTGAAATGAATTTTGAATATTGGTTGCTAATGGCAGGGATTTCCTGTTCTATATTTAAGGATAGCTTATATAACTTTTAAATAAAAGCTTATAAAACACCATTACTTGATGTTTGAGAATAATTTATATATTAAAAAACAACATACCCCCACATCAGTATCGAGTCAGCTCTGACTCATGGCAAATCCCTAAGTATTATTTCATGCATAATAGACTTCAGAGAAAAAGAATATGCTTTACTTTATCTCAGAGAAGAAAGAATCTTAAGGCATTAACAGCTCATTTTCTTCCTTTCTTGATGGTTTCTAATTTTTTCTTTTCCATTAGGGTGATATACCCTCTGTTGAATACCTCTTACAAAATGGAAGCAACCCAAATGTTAAAGACCATGCCGGATGGACACCATTGGTAGTTTTCTATTTGCTTGTTTTTTATTCTCATATTAATGTTGTATCTTGTATAGTTATGTCATTATACACGTGAGTATGAGAAAATGATTATTTTCTCTTGGGCATTTTACTTGTGATAGGTAAAGGAATTGGCTCTATTGAGAGATTACCTATAGAATCAGAATGCAGCTTCACTAAACGTTGCTGACTTTAGCTAGGGTATGCAGGAAACTGCTCCACCCAACACCAGGCTCTATTCTGCAGCATCACATCCCATAGCAACCAAATTTCTTGGAACCAAGAAAGATCATCATAGGAATTGAGTATAAGGAATGCATTTCAAGGAAGCCATTCTAATTGAGGATCTACTTTATTTATCCTGACTTGGTGGTAGAAAACTCACATTAAACTTTTCTTTTGGTTGCTGCTATTGTTAAGTGCCGTTGAGTCGATTCCAACCCATAGTGACCCTGTATAGGGTTTCCAAGGAGTAGCTGGTGAGCTTGAACTGCCAATCTTGCAGTTAAAATGGTTTTGTAGTCTGGCGCATTAACCCACAGCGCCACACCAGGACTCCTTTCTTTTCGTAGTCTTTTGTTCATTTGTACTAAAAATGCAATGTGAAGAATACTCTGGAAAAAGAATGGAACAGATACTTGGGAAGATGTATATTATATGGCTTAATTACATTAGAGTAATACGAATGAGATTTGAATGCAGCCATACAAGTGTCATCAAATAAGGTGATTCTTCATTTTGTAAGCTAAAAATTCAGAACAGAAATTAGGAGGCTCTGATTAGGCCAGGTGCAAAAAAGGTTTAAATTGTATAATGACTTCTCCTTGCCACGTTCTTTAGCTGGCAGGCTTAGTTCTGGATCAGAGTCACTTTGTTGTTAGGACTCCACAGGCTGGCTAACCTTTTTGAAGAAAGGTTACTTCTCCTCCCCCCCACCCCTTTTTTTTTTTAAAGATAAGGCAATCTGTAGTAAAGGCAAGTGGGTGATTTAGAGGCCTTGATGCCTAATTAGGATTCCTTCCTCCTAGAAACAAACCTACTGATAATCATTGTAGTGTCGCCTGTAAAGAATTGAAACAGAGACACTTAAAAAGCTCAGGCTTATTAGAATATAGCATAGCAGTGGTATTAGCAGCTCATGAGACATAAAGGGAAGGTTTCCATGTGATACATCTTTGGATAATGTTCCATTAAGTTACCAGCTGTATAATTCTTTCCGTAAACTTAGACACCTACCCTGTGTTATTTCTGTTAACACATACATCGGCCATACTGCTGTCAGCTCCAGCCAGTGGAGAGCCTTGTCTTGCTCCGTTCTGGCATCTTCAGTTTGTTGTATATGTTGTGTGGTTATGTTTGAGTGTTGGTGCACAATGTAGTCCATGGCTGAGCACCTGATTATGTGAATTCCATTCAAACTTGTACAAATTCAGATGTTTAGAAAGAGCAGGCATTTTGTTTTGGTTTCTGTTAGGTCTCGTGTGGAACAATTTAAGAGCTCATTGGCTTAAACCTACATTTTCTTTTAAAGAAAGAATGCTAAGAGTTATACTGGGTTTAAGTTACATTTTCTTCTAAGGTAAAAAAAAAAAATGGCCCAAGACTTAAATGAATAGTCTTTTCTTTTTCTGTGAATTACCATGCCTCATCACCAGAATTATTAATTGTGGCTTTTACTTTGTCAACAACTAATTTGAGTGAGTATTTAGGTAAGAATCAATTGATTGAGATTGAGATTTTTTTTTAAATAATGATCTATCGTTGTATTGTAACATGATTCATTGCTTTTCCTCATCCCTTCTTTATGGACTCAGCATGAGGCCTGTAATCATGGGCACCTGAAGGTAGTGGAGTTACTGCTTCAGCACAAAGCCTTGGTGAACAGCACGGGGTATCAGAATGACTCACCACTTCATGATGCCGTCAAGAATGGGCACCTGGACATTGTCAAGCTCTTGCTTTCCTATGGAGCCTCTCGGAATGCAGTGTAAGTAGCTCTGGCTTCAATTTATTGCGTAGTTGACTGGCTTTTGTGAATACAGCACAGACACCCAAGATGGCGTTCCCCTTCACAACTGCAGTTAGAAGCAACCACTATGTTCTGGATTAAAGTCTTCGTTCATACCCTTTTCCTTCGTGATTCTTATATACTTGGGAGGATTTGCTCTTTTCACTCAGAAACAATTGTCAATTCATTCTAGAAGCTTTGATTTTTCAGCATAAATTGACTTCGTTTTTATATTTACTAGATTTGTATTTATATATAAGAAAATAATTGGAAGTATACAAGTAATTGTTTCTATGCGTCTCTATACTTTTGAAAGTTGTTTTATGTATTCCATTTATTTTGTTCTTTCTCTGCCTATTTAGTATAACACCAGTTAAAGTGTGCAGGCATTCAGATGTTGGGCAAGTGCAGTTGAATTATTTCTTAGATTTTTCACATCATTCAAATGAGGCTCTGGGTAAATGGTTTCGCAATGTCAGGGCACAGAGACACATTAGTGAATGCTGGCGGCTACATATAAAAATTGCTATTGTCAAGAGTGTTACAAGCAAATGCCATATGTGGATTTTATGTCTTTAATCTGTAACTTAGTTCATGTTTCCTTATGTATTATTTTACTCTTTCCAGCTAATGAAGTAGCTGAAATGAAAATGCAAGAATTGCCTACTTGTGCCCCCATTGCTTCTATAGGTTTGGAAAGAGGATGCATACAAAATAAAGTCTGGCTTGTCCTAGTAAGAGGCAAACAAGAATTAGAAAATGTAGAGCTACTAGGTTGTAGTGTTTTATACATGACCCTCTAATTAAATGCAAGCAGGTACCATACTTTGCTGCAATTTTGGTAAATATGTCTAATCATTTTTTTCCATTGTCTGTGAGAAGATGGTTGGGGCAAGTTCTAAACCTACTGCCATCAAATCGATTCTGACTCATAGTGACCCTGTACAATAGAGTAGAACTACCTCATGGGGTTTCCCAAGGCTGTAAATCCTACAGAAGCAAAGGCCATATTTTTCTCCCACGGAGTGTCTGGTGGATTTGAACTTGAACTGCCCACCTTTTGTATAGCTGCCCAGTGCACCACCAGGGAGGGGCTGTGTGGGGCAAGTTCAGGGACAACATATTATTCTGCTTTTTAAAAACATTTTATTTTTTATATATTGGACCTAATAGATACGGTGTTCTTGTGGGTGGAGCAAGTCATTTGATAAAGCAAATGGTTGCTTGGGCCAGGTGAAACGGAATCGTTTCCATCCTAGGGTTCTTAAATCAGCCATGACTACTTTAATGAATGAAGCACTGGTCGGAGGGTTAGGGAATGCAGCTTTTATTTGTGACTCCATTATTGACTTTATCGCCGCAGGCAGGTTAATTTCTGTGCCTTGGTATCTTCACCTATAAAACATGGGTGACGCCTGCTGCTTTTCTATTTCTTCAGAACATAGAGAGGATTAATGAGCCAAAGCGCAAGGCCTGTCTGGTGTTTGTATGCTGTGATTCTTCACTGTGCTGTGAGGCTTATTAATGTACAAGGTATGGCTGGAGACAGTGAGCACTTCTGCCTTCTCAGGTGCTTTCTCAGATAGATCCGTGTTGTTTAAGGGTACATCTGCAGCCTGGGATTGTCCCGTATACCTTTCTGCAATGATCAGAATGTTTTTTGTTTGTTTGTGTCTTTGTTTTTGGTACTTGTGCATTAAAGTAGCCACTGGCCATCTGTGGCCCTCGAACACTTGAAATGTGACTACTACTATTCCTACTACTACAGAGCTAAATTTTACATTTTGTTTTTGGTTAATTTTGTTTTTGGTTAAGTAGTCACACGTGGCAATTGGGTACATGGATGATACAATTAAGATAGCGAGGAAGAAGGGTTTATTTAGCAAATGGGATGGGGATGGTGTTGGAGAAAAGATAATAAGGCAACTAGGGCAAAAACTCACCACTTGTCTGTCGGTTTGTTGTACTGTGGTGGCTAGGGTGTTGGCTGTGATGCTGGAAGCTATGCCACCGGTAATTTAAATACCAGCAGGGCCATCTGTGGTGGATAGGTTTCAGCTGAGCTTCTAGACCAAAATAGACTAGGAAGGAGAGGAGAGAGGTGGACTACTATAGAATGTTTGTTGTTTTTGTTGTTAGGTGCCATCAAGTCAGTACCGACTCATAGTAACCTTATGCACAGAAGAACGGAACACTGAACAATTCTGGGCCAACGTCACTACTGTTACCACGCTTGAGTCCATCGATGCTGCTATTTGGCCAATCCATCTCAATGGGAGTGTTCTTCTTTTTCTCTGACCCTCCACCTTATCCTGAAAATCTTATGAATACTAGTTATAAGAACACTGTTAGATAACAGTAGAATATTGAATATTGAAATACGATGAATAGCACCACAGTACTGTCAGATACAGTGCCGGAAGATGAGCCCCTAAGGTTGCAAAGCACAAAGAATTCGACTGGGGAACAGATGCCTCCTGTGATGGTGTGAATGGAGTAGAGCTTCATTTGCTGATGGGGCAAAATGAGGCAAAATAGCTGCAAACATCGATTACTAATCGGAACATGAAATGCATGAAGGAGAATTGAAAGCAGTCAAAAATGAACTGGCAAGCATAATCACTGATGTCCTAGGCATTAGTGAGCAGAAGTGAACTGGTATTGGCCAGTGTGAATCTGATAATCACATGGTTTACTATGCTGGGAATGACAAATTGAAGAGGAATGGCCTCACATTCATTATCAAAAACAATAAGTCAAGATCTGTCTTGAAGTATAATGCTATTTGTGATAGGATGATATCCTTACACCTACAAGGAAGACAAGTTAATACCACTATTATTCAAATGTACACACCAACCACTAAAGCCAGTGATGTTGTAACTGAAGAATTCAACCAGCTACTTCAGTCTGAAATTGATCAAACATACAGTCAAGATGCATTGATAATTACTGGTGTTTGGAGTGCAAAGGTTGGAAATAAAGTAGTAGTAGTAGAAAATATGACCTTTTTGATAGAAATGATGCTGTAGATCGCATGAGAGAATTTTACAAGACCAGTGATTTATTCATTGCAAATAACATTTTTAAACAACATAAAATAAGACTATACACATGAACCCTCACTAGGTGGAATACACAGAAATCAAATTGACTACATTTGTGGGAAGATAGTGGAAAAGCTCCATATCATCAGTCAAAACAAGGTCAGGGTCAGACTGTGAAGCAGTTGCTCATATGCAAATTCAGTCTGAAGCTTAAAATGTTAGGTCCATGAGAGCCAAAATAATGACCTAGAATGCTTGCCACCTGAATTTAGAGATCATTTCAAGAACATATTTGATGAACTTCATACTAATGAATGAAGACCAGAAGAGTTGTGGGATGACATCCAGAACATGCGGGAAGTCAGTAAAAGGTCATTAATAAGAGAGGAATGAAAGAAAAGACCAAAACAGATGTCAGAAGAGACTCTAAAATTTATTCTAGAGCATTGAGAAGCTAAAGTGACTAGACTAATCAGGAAATTAAAGAGCTGAACAGGAATTTCAAAGGTCAGCTCAGAAAGTATTATAATGAAAGGTGCTAAGACCTGGAGTTAGAAAATCAAGAGGGAAGAGCACAGTCAACATTTCTCAGGCTTATTGAACTGAAAAAATTCACTACTCATTTGCAACACTGAAGGATTCTACAGGCAAAATTTTGAATGATGCAGGGAGTATCAAAAGAATATGGAAGTGATACACAAAGTCACTGTACTAAAAAGAACTAGTCGATGCTCAATCATCTGAGAAGTCTTCAAGAATTGATGGTAGGGTATTGAAGGAAGAAGTCTAAGCTACACTGAAGACACTGGTGAAAAACAAGGCTCTGGAAATTGACAGAATACAAGTGAAGACATCTACCTTGTCAGCTGATTAGAAGAGATCCATATTTGTGTCCATTCCAAAGAGTGGTTTTTGTTGTTGTTAGGTGCCATCGAGTCAGTACCGACCCATAGCAACCTTATGCACAGCAGAACGAAACACTGTCCGATCCTGGGCCAACCTCACTACTGTTGCCATGCTTGAGTCCATCGATGCTGCCACTTGGTCAGTCCATCTTGCTGGGGGTCTTCCTCTTTTTCTCTGACCCTCCACCTTTCCAAACATGATATCCTTCTCCAGTGACTGGTCCCTCCTGACAGTATGTCCAAAGTATGACAGACGAAGTTTGGCCATCTTGGCCTCCAAAGGAACTCTAGCTGCACTTCTTCCAAAACGTATCTGTTAGTTCTTTTGGCAGCCCATAGCACTTTTAGTATTCTCCTCCAACACCATAACTCAAAGGCATCAATTCTTCTGTGGTCTTCCTTAATCACTGTCTAGCTTTCGCATGCATATGAGGTTATTGAAAATACCACGGCTTGGGGCATGCGCACCTTAGTCTTCAAGCTGACATGTTTGCTCTTCAACACTTTAAAAAGGTCTTGTGCAGCAGATTTGCCTAATGCAATATGTCGTTTGATTTCTTGACTGCTGCTTCCATGAGTGTTAATAGTTAATCCAAGAAGAATGAAGTCCTTGAAAACTTCAATGGAAATTGGAAATCATTGAACAGTATCATTGATATCACATGCCAGTAAAATTCGGCTGAAGATAATTTAAAAATGGTTGCAGCAGTACATAACATAATCAGGGAACTGCCAGAAACTCAAGCTGTATTCAGAGAAGAAGATGTGGAACTAGTGATATCATTGCTGATATCACATAGATCTTGACTAAAAGCAGAGATGTTTACTTGTGTTTTATTGACAGTGCAAAGGCATTTGACTGTGTGGATCATAACAAACTATATATGACTTTGTGAAGAATGGGTGTTCCAGAACACGAAATTGTACTCATGAGGAACCTGTACTTAGACTAAGAGGCAGATGTTCAGACAGAACAAGTGGATACTAAATGGTTTACAGTTGGGGAAAATGTGTACCAGGGATGTAT